TATGTATTGGGACCCTTTTATTTATTCATGGATCAATTCCATGTTATATATAGTTTGTTGCAAATGTTCTCGGCTTGAAATATTTTCACCCTCTTCAAGCCAACAAGTTGTTCTCTTACATTTGTGTACACATATGCTTTGTAGGGTTTTGTCTCAATACTATAGCGATACTTTTTATTGTAAGAAAAATTTACCAGCAACAAGTATGGATCCTAATTCCCACCAATGTCAATGCCATAATATCTTAACATGTATTTGAGTGTTTTGTATGGTGCACTAACTTTAGCTATTTGTCTATAAGTGGTGCGTGGTACTTTAAGTGAAAATCCTCACATCCGGGATAGTTTGAATAGTAATTTAAAACCATTCTTTAAAGTTTATTAAACCATTTCCAACGTGCATAAGTCCCCAAAACAGATTATTATAGGATATTAATACCCATAAAGAGAAAAACTATGACAAAATCTCCATTATTTTAAGCATAAATAGTCTTCTTAATCCTCGATGTGACCACTCTTAGCATGTCCCTAATTCTCTTACTTTTCACATGAGCACATGCTAAAATAATATGTTAGATTGGGAAGATTATTGAATCACAAAAGGGATTAACATCATATGAATAATATATAGATGGACACATTTATATATTTTAGAAATAACTAATTTTAGCGTGACACATTTGAAATCACTTTAAATTACCATTTAATAACTTTTAAAATATCTTTTGGGTAAAACATTCGATTTCCACACTGAATTATAAGTCACACAAGAATGAGAGTGTAATAGTAAATGCAATGTTTTATATGTACTCACATACCGAAACCCAAGTCACCTTAGTCTTGTTTTTTCGTCCCCTTTTCTCATATAGGTTCCATACACACCTTAAGGGATGATGATAGTAAACAATGCAACATTCAAATTTCCAGACAAAAATTCCATTTTTGAAACATAATTAAAAACATTCCAATAACCACTTTTTTTTTTTTATTAAAATCACAAGTACGAAAATGTTCAACCATAACAAAACCATATCAAAATGTATCAGAGTATGCAAAAGTTCGAAAATATAAAAAAATATTGATGCGTAATAGTAAAGCCTTGCCATTCCCTTTATCACTGGAACAACCCGAAAAACATTTAACATAAGAGAGTACAGAAAAAGCTTAGTGAGTTTCTCAACTTACCATATATCACATCACATATACAATGTATACATGTAAAAGGATCATAGTTAACACCTTAGTGAGCACATAGGTACAATACCCTCATCCCAACCTGACCTGTTAGACTTCCAACCAACTCATAGTCAAGACCTCATTAAGCCTATAAGCACAAAGCCCTCATCCCAATCTGACATGTTAGACCTCTAGTTATCCTTTTAGTAGGCCTGAAGGCTTACAATCAACTTCCCTTAGGATCCAACATATACCACAATATAAGACAAACCAGTCCTAATCATATATTCACACCCTATCAGTATCTATACAGGCTACCACACTATATATACCATATCAAACATAGTATAATGAGAACACTAACTTAAATAAGAGAGCTGAACCATCATACACTCGCATCCTTAAATGAATCAACAATATTAACAACTTAAATTGCCATTAGTTGTACCTTAGTGAGCAATAATAATTAAAGGTCAATCTTTAGTCCAAAACCCTAAATCCACCAAAGTTTAACTCAAAGTCAAACTGGTCAAAAAAATCAACAGTTAACTGGTAAAAGTCAATGGTTAACGACCAGATGCGCCACACAATTCGCCAGACGTGTCGCGTCTACTAAAGCACAAAATAGTCACGTTTTTACCTTCAGACACAACACACCCAAAGGATGGTACTATACACTTTCTTGGAAGAAACACTTCTCATGTTAAATGCTTAATCCTTTAAGCAAAGGGTTCAAACTTTCTATAACATTTTTAATGATGATTTAAATGGATCAAGTTTCAAACTTTATCCATAAGGAATCCCCATATAAAAACCCAAAACCCTAGATCTAAAAGTGGCAAATATTGCTAGTTACTTGATACATGGCTCAAGGAGAGTTTGAGCATGCACTCCTTTTACTCTATGAAGTCCAAAACCAATTCCATTCAAAGATTTTGACCCGGAGTTTCCTAACTCCAAAGCAACATCATAAAAGGGATCCCAAACACCACTAATTGTTAGATCCAGAAGCATATAAGCATAAAGTTTGGATCTTGAAGACTTATGAAGGTCCATAAACAAATGATAAGACTGGGTCTTCACTAAAGAATGCTCATCCTGACACCAAATGGCTAACTTCTTCTTTAAAGAGCACCAAAATCACCAAACACTCAAAAAACACACATAAGGGAGGCTATTGTTTGCTTTATGGAGGTGGATGCTGATGTATCAGACAAACCCTAAGAGTTGGTGCCTTTAAATAAGGCTTACAGTCCGAGAATTAGGGTTTGGGCCGCTAACTAAAATGATTCGTGCCAAATAAAAGGCAAGCCATGTCGGACACGCTACCAGGCATGCTGCGTCAACAAAGGCACACGCCGCACTTAGGCTTAAGCAAACCCTTAACTTAAATCAAAGTTAAAAGGTTTGATGAATAAGAACATACCAAAACCAAGCGTTACAAACAAAGTATCTATATGAGAATAAGCACAAATAATTGAAAAAACAACATAGACTCTGACACCATATACTAGGTAACACGTAAACCATTGTATATTTATCACATGCAGGGATTAATGGACCCAAGGTGGAATTAAAACTTTCTATAATGTATTAAATTTTAAAGAATTGGAGGATTTTCTTTGGGTTCTTGAAGTACCCATTCATTCCATAAGTATTCTAGTAAATTGAGAAAAATATTATTTGTGGAACCTTTTCAAATGGAATACAACGGAGAGATGTGTATAAAGACAAATTGAGAAAAAAATGTTATACAACGGAGAGATGTGTATAAAGACAAATTACATGGACTACATTTCAAATGGGGTACTTAATAGAACTTGGAGATATGAGAAGTTTTGAAAAATGGATTTAATGTAGATGACCAAAGTTCGGTGAGTAGTAGATGGAGACGAAAATTTAAGATTTTATTTCATGAAATGATCAACAGGAAAATGACTTTCGCAATACAAGGTGTTATGTCTAATGTGGATTATATTTTAATTCCAATTCAAATGAAAGATGCATTTTGCTCTTTTTTGCAACCAAGTTTGATGATACATTCACAATTAGGCCAAAAATATTAGGTGGTTCTTTTAAAAGAATATCAAAGTCGAGTAGTGACTTTTTTACAAATATGTATTATGTACATTGTATTGTATGCATTGGATAAGAGATTTGAAATCAGCCCACAAACATATTTAGGAAGATGTTAAATTGAGAGCCCATTTACACAACACCAAATCTGGTATGTCAATGGCAATATCTCTATATGCTGTAAGCCTGTAATAATGGAACGTTACAATCTACGCCTCACACCGTCTTTCCATGCGCCATATCTCTCACACATCGACCGCACACCCGCATCGACTCACCGACCGTCGTTTCTTTCTCCTATTTACTCATCCATATATAAATAAACCAACCCCATTTCATCAATATACAATAGTTTATCTTCAATTTCATCTTTAGGGATTTCTTCATAATCTTATCAATACCTATACGGCTAAACCAATCAATAATCCGCCCACACACCTATTTAATTAAAGGTATAATCTTTATCTTTACCTGTTTTGGTCCTTGATTGCACTGTTTATATGTGTTTGAATACTGACATTTCTGCATTGATGTTCTATGCTTCCGATTGTTTGGTTTAGAGTATTTAAACGGGTATCCATCTTTTTGCAACAAAACTTCGTGTTTTTTCCGGCGATCGTTGTTGATTGCCTTGTAGATTGATCTCATCTTCATTTCGTGTAGTTTTTGTAAGTGATGATGAAACCGATTGATGTTTAGTTCAATAGCAAGGTCCGATTATTGGGTCTATAGTGGTGTGGGGTAGTATGATATGAAGCAAGATTGCTTTTTTCGATGAACTTAACTTTATATATGCAGTTGGGGTTTCTGATTATATGAAAATAGGCATCTATGCAGATTGAATATCAGTTACTGTTTTTTGTTTTGATGTCTGGTAAGTGGGGTTTCCAGGATGAATCTCTTCCTGCACACCATGTGTTTGATTATTGGTTTGTACTTTGTATGAATCTTAAGTGCTTCATATGTGTGTTTTCTTAATTTGATCATTTCTGCATATTTAATTTTTACATAATGTTGCCTGTGATAATTGTTTTTAACTTATCTGACTTTGATTCCTGATTATATTCATCAAAGTTTCTGCCTTTTTGTTCAGAAGTCAGAATGGCAACTATTTTAACTGGTTTTTTACTTTTTAGGACATCCAAGAACACGAATCAAAGTTCACGTGAGTTGTTGTTTGTATGAATGCAGTTTTTAGCAATGAAATTATATAGTCATAATGTGCTCTGAAAATCTGAAGCAAATTTTATTCCCCTTGAGGTATTTTAAATGTGGTTTAAGTACAAAAGGTCTACAAGTAAAGGAAGTCATAATGGATCTAGAATATTAAGAAAGAAAAATACATTAAAAAGGTGAATGGTGTTTAACAAGTATCAGCACATTTTAAATCAAAGCTTTCCCAATAACGATTCCTTAAAATCTTTATGAAGTTATTTAATTCAAAGAAAGAGATCTTCTTTCTCCAATGCCTAATGGACTTTAAAACTTAAAACTTTTCATCTTTTCTCGTATGTTCTTGTTTAGTCCCTTTAGTCATTTCTATGTCTCAAAAAGGTAACCAACTACAACGTTTGTTTAAAGCATATCATTATGAGTAGCTATATCAAGTTTTTACCTATTTTAGATGCTTATCATACAACCACCTAAAAAGTTTCTTGATTCTCTTGATTATATTCTAAACATCTTTGAATCTTTTTATGTTTTTTAAAGGTTGAAGAGTATTTATTTGTGCATGGAAGAAGAAAAAAGATGCCAGATTTGAGACGTGGAGTTCGCCAAGCTAAAAAAGTGATAAATCTTGATAATAATAATAATAATAATAATAATAATGATGATGATGTTGTTGTAGTAGCTCCTACAACACGTCGTGGGACCCGAAGAGGTAAAGCTCAGACACCAAAAGCAACTCCGGCATACCCGATTCCAATGCCGAGGCCAGGTGGCAGAGGGAGAGGGGGTAAAGGAATTGAACAAGATAAAAATGGTGAGATATTTGGTGGTGTTGGTGGTGGACGTGGGCCCCACTTGAATTTGGATGTGGGAATTCGTGATCAATTGGTTGTGGGAAAAAGTGCAGAGAAATTGGTTGTTAATGGTGAGGAGGAAGGAAGCTCGAGCCCCGTTCCTGAAAGGGTATTTTTTAAAAAAAAAATCTTTTTGATTTTATAAATGCATTAGGAGTTACTATTTGAATTCTTTATTTCATAGTTCTTGTCATTTCTTATTTGAAAAATTGCAAAAGCATTAGTAGTTAAACCACAATAATATTTTTTTTTTTTGGTAATTTTCCCGACTTTATAAACGCATTATGACTATGATTTTTGATTCTTTATTTCATAAAGTTCTTGCCTTTTATTATTTTGTGAGTTAAACGGGTGGTTCTTTTGACTTGATGCAAAAAGAGCAACTTAATAGAGAAAGATAAGGAAAGACTCTTTCTCCTATTAAGTCCTAACCTTTTACTAAATCGTCCTCATTTATTTTTTCGTTACATTTCCCTAGTTGTGTTGTCATTTTCTAAAATATTCTTTTAAACAATGTGTATTTACACAATATTTAATGGAGAAATAAAGAACGGGGCCTAAGTTTATCATGATCCTAATGCTAAAAAGTAAACAAGACTTTATTTTCCAAAAAGGTAGAAGATTTACTTTCTATTTTGGTCTTTTGTGGATTGCTTTGGTTTAAGAACACAATATTAATACAATGCTTGGGAAAAAGAATGAAAACCCATAAATAATAATAGGAAAGAAATTATCTTTCATGACTTTTTAAAGATTTTCAATTAGTGGATGAACAATGTTTCTTGATGATCATGGCATTGATGATTTGAGCCATGGATTGACTACATGGAATGTATAACATAGTTTAATAAAATATAATTTTGTTTTTTGTTTTTAAAATTTTGGATTTTGCTTGTTTTTTAGGTGCAAGTTGGCAATTCTCCTGCATACAAGTTAGAAAGAAAACTCGGTAAAGGAGGATTTGGTCAAGTTTATGTCGGTAGGAGGGTGACAGGTGGAATGGGAAACTCGGGTCCAGATGCTCTTGAGGTACATGTCATCTTCATTCACATTTAATTTTCCATTTTTTTTAATTGTTTTATATTTTCTTCCATTCAAATATATTATTATTTCTATTATGTAGGTTGCTTTGAAGTTGGAACATCGTAATGGGAAGGGATGTAGTTATGGTCCTCCTTATGAGTGGCAAGTTTATAGGTAATTAAAAATTTCATTTTACATTTCTTGAAACCTTAATTACCACAAGAAAACTAAATTTCTATGATTGTTATTTTATTTTTCTTTATGAAGTACTCTAAATGGTTGTTATGGGATTCCAATGGTTCATCACAAAGGTCGCCAAGGAGAATATTACATCCTTGTGAGTTCTTCACCTTCTTTATTTTTTATTTTTTATTTTTTTATTCCATGGTGTCTTAAAGTCTTAAAACACTTTTTTTTAATTCCTATTTTGCCCTTTTGATTTAGGTTATGGACAAGCTAGGCCCGAGTTTGTGGGATGTTTGGAACTCTAGCAACCAAACGTATGTAAAAAAAAATCTACGTTTGTTGCATATTTTCTTGAAATCTTTTTAGTTTTTAATCGATATTTCGCCTCTTTTTGATAGTCTTTCAGAAGAAATGGTTGCTTGTATAGCAGTGGAATCTTTATCAATATTAGAGCAGCTTCACTTAAGAGGGTAAAATTTAAATTTATACATGTGAGTTGTAGACTTTTAATATGAATTTCATATGACAATTACCTGTTCTTTTTTAGTTTTGTTCATGGAGATGTAAAACCAGAAAACTTTTTACTTGGTCAACCGGGGACACCCAATGAGAAAAAGTTGTATTTGGTTGATCTTGGTTTAGGTATATATTTCTATTACTTACTTTAAGTTTCATATTATTTTATACATATTCTACATGAGTTTAATAAGGGATTCATTTCTTTTTTATTTTCAGCTTCAAAATGGAGGGATACGTCTTCGGGTAATCATGTTGATTATGACCAAAAGCCTGATGTGTTCAGGTATTTTTGTATATCTTTGAGTAGAGTATTAATAAGTAGGGCTTAATGCAAGAAATAGCAATGTGTTTTCATTGATTTGAGTATGTTACATTTTCTTGCATTTAACCATAAAAAGTAATACATTGTTTTGCTTGTTGTGTTTATGATAAGCGTGATCTTTTTTTTTTTATAAATGTTTTTGTTTTTATAATAGGGGAACAGTACGTTACGCGAGTGTACATGCACATTTAGGAAGAACTGGAAGTAGAAGAGATGACCTTGAATCATTGGCTTATACATTAGTTTTCCTCCTCAAAGGAAAACTTCCATGGCAAGGTTTCGTTGTAAGTTTTTTTCTACTTTTACCAAATTATCCAAATTCACCTTTTTGGAATAGGACAAAAAGTTGCTACTTTTGTCTCATTGACATCAGTTTCAGTCTCTCAGCATCTGTACAACCTGTTTAGTCATGTCATATGATGTGACATAATTTACTGCTTTTTTTTTCCCATACACATCATCAGTCTGACAACTTGTCATGTCATGTCATGTCATGATTTAGATGAATGTCATATTATGAAAGTTCACTGACAAAAAGTTGCCACTTTTGTCCCATTCATAGAACAAAGACTCAAGGGACAAATATTGATATATTGGCATCATGTTTTGACATTTCTTTTTGGGATTTCAGGGAGAGAACAAAGGGTTCCTTGTTTGTAAAAAAAAGATGGCAACGTCTCCGGATATTCTTTGTTATTATTGTCCTTCACCCTTTAAACAATTTCTTGAAGCAGTGACCAATATGAGGTTTGATGAAGAGCCTAATTACTCAAAGCTTATTGCATTGTTTGAAAACTGCCTAGTTTCTAATGCATCATTGCGCCCTTTAAGAATCGATGGTGCCCTAAAGGTGACTCTTTTTTATTTTATTAACTTTGATAGTATCATTGAGGGTTTTGATATATTATTTTGTGTGTGTGTGTGTGTGTGTTTGTGTGTGATTTAGGTGGGACAAAAGAGGGGAAGGTTGCTTAGTGATTTGGAAGATGGTTCTCAACCTAAAAAGAAAATTAGACTCGGGACACCAGCTAATCAGTGGATTTCAGTTTATACATCAAGAACACCAATGAAGCAAAGGTATAAATAATAGTGCACTCAAAATATCAACATTTCTTAACTTTAATCTGTTTTATGCAATTTAAGAACAACCTACTTTAGAATTCTTCCATTTGTAATGATTTTTTGTATTTCAATTGTTTCAGATACTATTATAATGTATTGGATTCAAGACTTCATCAGCATGTGGAAAAAGGGAAGAATGATGGTTTGTATGTTAGTTGTGTAGCATCTGCATTGAATTTATGGGCAGTTGTCATGGATGCTGGGACAGGGTTCACTTCGCAAGTTTACGAGATTACCCCCATGTTTTTACGCAAGGTAATAAATAATAATTACATCTTATGCCCTTCAATTTGTCTTTTTTTTCAAGAAATGATAACATACTTGAATTCCCTTTTTGTGTATATTTAAGGAGTGGATAATGGAGCAATGGGAGAAAAACTATTACATAACATCACTTGCAGGTGCCTCAAATGGCAGTGCCTTGGTTGTAATGTCAAAGGGTAAGTCTTCATTTCCTTTTCTTAAACGAGGGCAAATTTGTAAAAACTTGTTTCTTCTCCATTAAGAAAGAAACACTCATATTATCATACATAGCTTACCTGATAACGTTTTGTCCTTGTTATCTTTTGTTGTATTCAGGATCAAAGCTGTATTAAAAGTCAAAATTTTGAATTTTCCATAAATACCCTTGTACAAGTGATAATTTTTTTTTTCTTTTTTACCCCTCACTAGGGACAACATACACACAACAATCATACAAAGTAAGCGATGTGTTTCCATTCAAGTGGATCAACAAGAAATGGAAGGAGGGCTTTTTGGTCACTTCAATGACAACTGCTGGTAATAGATGGGGCATTGTGATGTCTCGTGATGCAACTTATTCCAATCAGGTATTTTGTTTGTTACATTTTGCTTTTATTGATAAAGAAACGCAAGTGTTTTATATTATGTGTAAAGAAATGTAATTACATTGCCATATATTATTGGTTATTTGCAGGTGGTGGAACTTGATTTTCTTTATCCAAGTGAAGGGATTCATAGAAGATGGGAAAACGGATACCGAATTACATCAGCTGCTGCAACTGAAGATCAAGCTGCTTTCATACTTAGTACTTCAAGGAGGAAATTACAAGATGTCACTCAAGAAACTCTCAGGACTTCTGCTTTTCCTAGTACCCATGTCAAGGTAAATTCCTGTTTCTTTTTGTTAGTGTTACAAGGGCAAAATGGTCATTTACATCATGTTCAGACAATTGATTCGGTTCATAAAAGAAACAGTCTTTATGTATATAACACTTATGGCTTACCATATTATGTCTTGGATTTGTTTATCAACAGGAGAAATGGTCAAAGAATTTGTACATAGCATCCATCTGTTATGGAAGAACTGTATCTTGAAATTTACTAGAAGCTTCTATCGGTATGTATCCCTTTTCCTTTCTTATATTATTACCTTTCACTATATGACTTCAAAAATTTGGAGTAATGTATGTGTGAAAATAACATAGTTATGTACATAAGAAAGAGTTGAAAAGTATATTGACTGTTTCTGCAAAATATGGTATCTGAAAAGATTGAATTTGTTACTCACAGGTATTCAAAATCTGCTCAACATGTTGTCCTTTAGCTTTCATGCTACACCTTTCTTGAAAAATGGTTGATTGGAAATGTTGAAATTTAGTCGACATTTCTGTGTCATTTTTTTTAATATGAGGAAGGGAGATAATTTATACAACGATGAAGAAAAGATGGGGTTTTGTGGCACCCCTCTTTTTTTGGGTTTGTTGGTGTGTTGTAAGGATGTATAGTCGATAAACTTAATGTTAAAACTGGTGGTTAAAAGTGTGATGTTGTTACATGGCTTGAAAAAAAGTCGGGTTTTGTGAAAAATTGTATGGTGTGTAATTGAATTTATAAAGAAAAGTTAAGAAAAAGGTGAAGAGATTATGATATTTTGATGAGTTGTTTTGTTTTTGGCAAAATTTCTTCCATGGTTTTGTTTTAATGATCATGTGTGTGGGGTGGGAAGCATGTCAAAGTATGATTTTTAAGGTGTATGTGGTTATGTTGACATGTTATCACTTTTTCTAGTTCTTTAAATTTCAAGGGATATTTACAAAATGACCAAATGGTATGTGACTATGTGGAATATAGATCAATGACCAAAGTTTTAGGCATAATTTTAAGGTGTATATGTGGTTATGTTGATTTGGTAGGTATGTTTAGACAACTTAGGTAGTATTAAATTTTTTTCCCCATATGAGTTGGTTAGGGTTTTCACAATCTTTTCTCAAGCAAAATTCTGCAGATAGAAATAACTTCATCCGATCTTATACATGAAGAAAGCTTTTCCAATCTTCTTGTAAACTGTTGCACATAAAAAAGACGTATCCCAGGTTAGTTATCCATACAAAAAAGATGACTGATTGTTTTGAGTTCTTAGTTGTCGCTTTGTTGTAATATTCGTTTTGTAACAGTCTAAAAACAGTGATAAAATTTTTCATTGAAAGATTATCAATTTCATTCATTAATTGGTTCAAAAACCATCACCAAATATAATATCCAAAATATTAGATTACAATTATTCAAAATGCAGAAATCATGGGGGTAGGATGTTATGTCATCACACTGGACTTTTCCTTTTTGAACCAAAAAGTACCTGAAACCATAACCATAAACTATAGGTACAAAATTTAGTGAATTCTCCAAAGTACCACATACGAATAATACAACTGCGCTTTAACCTTGGGGTATAAACCAACCCAATATACATATATAGGCCTAGCACTGGGGCCTCACCTTGCGGTGTATTTCAACCCTATCAACACATATGGGTCCCGCCCTGGGGCTTTAAACCCAATCATACAATAGTGGGCCCCGTTATGAGATTTATTTCAACTTGAACATGCGATAGTGGGTCCTTCCCTGTGGTTTATTTTAACCCATCATACAAACTCATATAAGCCACATAACAACCATCATTCTAAATAACACAATAATGGGCCGCCATTAGTGCTTTCGACCCATGGACAGTAAGAAGACTCACCTCACAGGCAGATGAAAAGATGAAACAATACGTTGCTCCGAAATCAACTCTACCGATCACCTTTATAAATAACAGTGGCTAAAACTCAGAATACAACTCAAAAATACCCAAAATACCCCTAGATCAAAATCCAGGTCAATGTCAACCGAGTCAACCGGGTAAACTCGGTGAGTATGCTGGGTGTACTCAACACGTACACGGGGCATACTACGTGCTTGACCAAAGTCGAGGGGTTGACCGCGTACGCGCAACGTACTCTTTGGTACGGCCAACGTACGCGGCTACCACCCTTTCTTCCCATTAAGAGCTTAATCCTTAAGCTCTTTCATCTAAAATCCAGATCTAGCCCTCAAAAGGTGCTCTTAACCATAAAGTTTCCAACTTTATGGTCTTGCATGGCTATTAAGAACTCAACATCAAAAACCCTAGCTTCTTGACCCATTAAGACAACCTAGATCATGCATGGAAAGAAACTAATGCCCAATATCACATTTTTATGATTTATCACACCCTAAAGCCTCTGAAAGGACAACTCAAAAGTCCTGGAGTATTCTATACTCACAAATATCAAGATTTGGGACAAAAAGGTGCCAACTTAAGCTTGAACTAGATCTTAATGAAATATTCATCAAGGTTGGAGCTTTATACCTCCAAAAGATGCACAAGAGAGAGTAGTTATTGAATCTAAAGTCTTGAGTGAAGCACTACAACTTCAAGGTTCTTCCTTCACCACTAAGATCACCAAAATGACTTTCCAAGCTTTAAAATATACTCACACACTTTAGGGTTTCGAAATGAGGGAAAAAAGGGATGGAGGCTGGAGTTAAGAGAGAGTATGGGGCTATAATGATATTTAAATAAGGTTGAAACCCTAAAAATTAGGGTTTGCAACTTGGCCACGTACGCCCAACGTACGCATGCATGGCCTCATATTACAAAAATGCCATTAGGGACTAACTTTGCAAACAAATTACAAACCAAGGATCAAAATGAAATACCTAGAAATCAAGATGTTACAACTCTCCCCCACTCGAACTAGACTCCGTCTTCGAAGTCTGCTGACGCAAATAAATCAGGGTAGTGCTCTCGCATCTCCGCCTCGGGCTCCCAAGTTCATTTGGAATCCCTCCGATGTTGCCACTAGACCTTGACCAAAGACAGGAAAATCCAACCAGTATGCAACCTTGCCCACTCGGGCAATAATCTTGAAGAGACTGATAAATCGGGGTCCCAACTTGGATCGCTTCCGAAATCGGATGACACCATTCCAAGGTGACACTTTCAGAAGCACCAACTCCCCCACCTGAAACTCGAGGTCCGAACGTCGCCAGTCTGCATAACTCTTCTGCCGGCTTTGCACGACTCGCAACCTGTCACACACCTGCTGAATCAACTCAGTGGTCTTGAGTACCACCTCATTACTCCCCATGAACCGATGCCCGACCTCCCCCCAACAAACCAGGGTCCTGCACCTCCTCCCATATAATTGTTGTTGTAGGAGAACTTGACAAGTGGAAGGTAAGTATCCCAACTTCCTCCAAAATCTAAAACACATGCTCGGAGCATATCTTTGAGCGTCTGAATCATCCGTTCGCTCTGATTGTCAGTATGGGGGTGGTACTAAAATGGAACTGAGTACCCAACTCCTCATGAAACTTTCTCCAAAATCTTGAAGTGAAACGAACATCCTAGTCCGAAACCACCGAAACTGGCACTCCTTGCCGAACCACCACCTCCCAAATATAGATGTTAGCTAGTTCTCAGCATATATACTCTCGGCAATCAGTATGAAATGTGCACTCTTGGTCAATCTATCAACAATGACCCAGATAGAATCAACTCCACTTGCCGTCTTTGGTAGCTTTGTGATGAATGGTAATCTCTTCTTACTTCCACATAGGAATGGGTAACGACTGCTATGGGGTCTCTAATGTTCGTCCTTAACTTTCCTGCAAGTCCAACACCGCTCTACGAACCATGCTATCTTCCTTTTCATACAGAGCCACCAATAACTCAACTTCATATACTGATACATCTTTGTGGCCCCTCGGATGGATTGAGAATGTTGACTTATGAGCCTCCTCCAGAACTATCTGTCTCACCCCAACAGTATTCAGAACCCAAACTCTACCACACTGAGTCAACAATCCCCAACTGTCTCTAAAAAAATAAAGGAATGTATCCCTAATTCTCTCAGCCTTCCAATTCTCCTTTTTCAATCCCTCCACCTAAGCCTTTTTGATAAAATCTAACAAGGGTAAAGTAAAAATCATCCTCAAGCAAATATCCATGATAAGAGAACTCACGACTTTACGGCTCAAAGCATCGGTCACCATATTGGCCTTCCTAGGGTGGTACATGATCTCATAATCATAATCCTTTACCACATCCAACCATCTCCGCTGCCGCATATTCAAATTCGGTTGATCCATGAGATATCTCAAACTCTTGTGGTCAGTGTAGATAGTACACCTAACCCCATACAGATAGTGCCTCTAAATCTTGAGGCAAAAAACCAATACTGCCCCCAACTCCAAATCGTGCGTAGGGTAATTCGACTCATGAGGCTTCAACTGCCTTAAATCATAAGCAATCACCCCTCTACATAAGAATAACTCCCATACCTGAAATGGAGGTGTCACAATAAACTACAAAGTCATCCATACCCTCGGGAAGCGCGAGAATCGGGGCTTTGCATAATCTCTATCTCAGAGTCTCAAAAGCCAACTGTTGATTAGGCCCTTAACGAAAAGTAACATTCTTCTTTGTCAAGCGGGTCAAAGGAACTGCAATCTTCAAGAAATCCTAGATAAATCTTCGATAATACCCTGTAAGACCCAAGAAGCTTCGAATCTCAGATGAGGTCCTCGGGACCTCCAATCACATCACAACCTCGATCTTGGTCGGGTCGACCAATATACCCCTTTGGTTGATGATGTGCCCCAAGAATTACACCTCGCGCAACCAAAACTCACTTTTGGAGAATTTGGCATATAACCTCTCCCTCTTTAGGGTCTCCAACACCTCTCGCAAGTGTTCCCCGTGTTGCTCCTTGGTCTTGGAGTAGAACAAAATATCATCTATAAATACTAGCACTGACTGATCCAACATCGGAATACAAACCCGATTCATGAGATCCATGAACATTGACGGTGCATTAGTGATCCCGTATAGCATCACCACAAACTCGTAATGACCATAACGATTCATGAAGGCCTTCTTCTGTACATTATCATCCTGAAGCTCATCTGATGGTAACCTGATCGCATATCAATCTTGGAAAACCAAGATGCACCCCGAAGCTGTTTAAATAAGTCATCAATCCTCAAGAGTAGATAACGGTTTTTCATCGTTAGCTTATTCAACTCCCGATAGTCAATGCACATCCAGTGCGCACTGTCCTTCTTCTTCATGAGCAGGATCGGTGCTCCCTATGGAGAGCTACTCGGCTAAATAAACCCCTTGTCTAGCAACTCCTAAAGCTGCGTAGACAACTCCTGCATCTCTGGTGATGCCAAACGATATGATGCCTTAGCTATTGGAGCCACACCAGGAACTAGATCAATCTGGAACTCGACTTTCCTCTCAGGAAGCATTCCTGGTAACTCCTCAGGAAACACATAGGGGAAATCCTGAATAATGGGCACCTCAATTAATGTCGTCGTGCCCTCCACCCGAGTATCCGCCACATAAGCCCAAAATCCTGATCAACCCTACTGTAGATATCTCCTGGCCCTCACAGCTAAACAGAGAACCAGCTCATGTGAAGCTTCCTCGCCAGGAATAACCAGTTCTCCCCCACTTGGGGTTCTAACTCTCACTAGTTAGCGCTCACATTCAATGATGGCCCTATTGGGGCCCAACCAATCCATCCCGATAATAACCTTTGATCCTCACAGAAGAATCGACACCAAATCAATGGAATATCTCTCACTAAATAGATTC